AAAAAATTAAATCCTGGACCCGTTAGTGTACCCTTCTAAAAATGGTTTTCAGAATTGGATTGAGGAAAAACCTGGAGAAGGAATCGCCCGGTTAAATCTTTGAGGTACCTCTTTCTCTACCACCTTATGGCGGAGAAAGATTAAAAAGGTCGACCGCTCTAGCTGAAATGGCTAGGCGCCTTAAAAATAAACAAATACCGACTGAGGAAGTGTTGGCGGCTTAGATGAACACTATCGTAGCCTGGGTGGTCTGCATATGGTACCATTTCATTCCTTTCCGACAAAAAGGGATGTGCGACTTCTAATGAAACCCAATTGTTCAGTATTTAGTATTCGGACTTGTGCCGTAGGAAGAAACTTTTAACTAATATTTGAAATCACCAATTGAAAATAAACGTTATTTCGTCTAAAAACTAACATAGCCATTATAAAAATAACAAACAATATGACCAACCTGCAGTTTTAATCATTAATCAGTATTAATAAATCTTTACAGTATTCGATATAATTTAATTAATTTATTCATGATTGTTTATTGTGGAGTGAGGTAGCTTAGTGGGTAGGGCACTGACTTCCAAAGGTCCCGGGTTCGAATCCGGCTCATAGCAGATAATTATTTATTATGTTTCATCGGCTGTGGATCGACCCTGAGGTCGGGAGACCTTTCTGGGACACATCCAGTCTATGTGGGGAGCGCGATCTCGGTCAAATCACTTCTTTACATGATCGATGACCAAGATGCTATCTGTGCCAATATTCAGAAAATATATCTTCGTCAAGCAATAATGCGAGCCATAACAAAATAAAAAAAAAAAAAATAATTTTCAGTAATACTAGGTGAATCTCACTCAATGAAGTTTCGAGCTACGATTCATTTCATCAAATTCTTCAATGGTACACCAAATTTGGTGACGATTTATTGAGTTCACCTGCAACAATAGGAGCGTCGACATTGTTATTTTTGTTCTGGTTTTTCTATCTCATACCGCATGGGTTACCGGTCGTTTATTTACTGCAAACATTAAAAATGTCTTTTAATATTCCTCCCCAATATTACCTTACCTTGCAAGATTGAAAAACAAGATCGACAAAAACGTATCATCCAGAACCAACTTTATGGTATCTAACAAAGGGAAAAACGTCCGTCAGTATAGCTTCCTCGTCGTTATCATTGGCTAAAAACTATTTATATTACAAGGTCTAAAATTTTTCATATAATAAAATCTCTGAAAGAAGCCGTTTTCGGAAATTCAGTAATCCCTCAACATATACCGGCTTGATATCCACGGGTTTTGTTTATCAGAGAATACCAAAATGCGAAAGAGTTCCGCATTTGCAGATTACATATTTGATGATTCATAATTTTTAAAAAAAATGCATACTGAATATGCATCGCTAATTCAGTATAATTATATTGAATATAAAATCGCTTATGAAAACAATATTTAATAATTACTTCTAAAAGTATTAATGTTCGTGTAATTACATTTAATAGTACTTAAAGAATCACTTAAACTCTGATCATATAGGTAGTTAGTTCCTTTCTTTTTCTTCCTAAGTAATTATCGTTGTTTAATTAAAAAAAAATCTTGCTGAAGTCCCCCAAAACTAAATATTTGATCCACTAGTGCTACACATGTATTGTATAGCTTTTTAAGGGTGAGCGTGTAAAATGGAATTTTTTTTTGGAAGTTTATTAGTTTGAATAAATGGTGATTTATAATAATCATCTGTTGGCGCTATGGTCCTTGCAGAACCACTGCCTCCTATACTATTTTCCTTCTAAAAGACCTGTCTTCCGTCGGCTCCTTAGATTGTTTCAGATTATTATTACAATTTATAAATATCTTTATATTGAAATATTGTATATTATACAGTATATACATTGAACAAAAACTTAAAAATTAATTTTCTCGAATTTCTGGCAAACCTTTGGTATTATATTATGTTTTATTTTCTTTCAAATTCTTTATTGGGAGGAGCAAGTGCTTTCCCCTGTGTACTTCAATGGATATAAGATGACCGATAAGGATCAACAGAGAAGAAAATCTGATCAAATAAATAATAGTTTAACAGTAATTAAGATCCTGATGATGAGGATCAGGACTGACTAACTACTGACACGGTAATTAGCTATAGATAAAAGGAATCCTACTCATTCATTTCTCAGTTGATACAGTTGATAGTAGCAGTAAAAAATGCGCACAGTTCTATCATATCCTCAAGTAGTAAACCATATTTCGGCCCCTTTCATCATTTCTTTCTTCAATTATTTCTGCATGGGTAATGATTTAAAAGTTTTAGTGAACAGTAGAACTTTAGAAATAAAGAACCTTTGTTTTACTGTACCTGTAAAGGATTTTTAATAAATTTATTAAATTGATTCAACACAAAAACTGCACACTTTTTTTGTTTTGGGGTTCTACATATTTAACAAATTCAAATTTTGAGCTCGTTAACAATTTTATTTCACATTTTTTTTTCAAGGAATGGATTATAGAATATGTGATTTGTTTTTTTAATAAAAGGTAGGTTTATAATCAATGTATAAAAAACCATTTCTGTCTCAAAACCTGTAAAAATGACACATTTGTCGTTTCTGCAATAAAGGATTCAATAATACTCTGTTTAGTATGTTTAGGAAGGAGTTAAAAAAATGTTACGATGTAAAGTAGTATCTAGAGAGTAAGGATATAGTTGATTATGTTTTGGTGTTTCTGGTGCGCACCAGAAATAACTACACCACTGGTTCTGAGGATTTCATTCCGAATCTCTATGAATGTTTGCATGAAATGCATATCCAGACTTCTACAACTTGGGTAGTCAGTCATACAGTAGATGATAAATGTTTTGTTATTGGAATATTTTAAATTCAATTTTATTTGTGGGATATATTGTGTTCACTAATACCTTTAAATGATATTTGCCTTATAAACACATCTACGTAGTAGATATTGAATATTTGATATTTATAAGTAATTCAAAATCTTAAAACTATTGTTAAAAATGCTCATAAGCTAACTATACCACTATGTAAAGAAGTTAATCACTGTTATATTTATTATATTTTATCTATGCCATGTTTATTATAAATTTTAATTGGTAGGAATTAAAAAAAAGTTTCCTTTTACAATTGTATTCAAATGTGTATGTAGATAATTTAGTTAGACTGCTTAAAACACAATAACTCTACTTTAAATGCATTGATGTAATTATGTTAAAATTCAAATTCAAATTGAGCTACTTAAATAAAATAGTTGATAAGCCCAAAGAGTGAATATGGGTTTATCAGTTTCCATTAAAGCTGAAATTTCGGATATGTTCTCATTTCTCATTACAAAAATTCGTGGTTATTTCCAGCAGAACCTTTTTTTGTGTTTTTTCTTTATGCTTAAAAATACTAAAAATGTTATCAAACATGTAGAAGTGTACTGTAAAAATCATGATCAACCTTTATTAAAAAATAAAATAAAAAAGGAAACAACAAGAAGAATGTAAAATTTATTAATTAATTTTGCATATGGTCTATTTATATTTATTAATGAGGTTATTTATAATGAAATGAACGAGAATAATTATTTTAACATCTATGTTTTGTTTTTTTACAATTTCAGAACCTAATTGTGTAACATCAAAATAGAGTCTAATATTGTAACCGAAAAAATATTTTGTATTTTGTTTGCTCTCTAAAATAGATTTGTCTTTTCGAAAGAGACAAAATGAATATTATTGTTCCTATTGTTTTTATACTTAAAATTCTTAATTTATACTTATATTACTTTTGTGTTTCTTTTATGCTTTAGTATATTTTTGTAATATTATGCATAATTCCTAAACACATAATTGTACAATTATATTTTTGTTCCAAATATTTCTATTATTGTGAACCCGCCTCAAAATCTAGAAACATAGGTAGCCTTAATACATAAAAAAAATATACTTTATATACAAAGATACCAGTGACGGTATTTGTTAGCTTGAACATTGAACAAAAAACTTTTTGAAATAAATCAACTTAATTTTTTTTTCATTTTTCCCATTTATTAACATATACCTAATTCTTATTCCAATCACAAATATAGTAAAACTGTAATTCAATAACTCTAAAATGTAATTATGGTACAACTGAGATGACACATCTTCAAGATCTTAAAAAAACTAGAATTTGTTTTCATTAAATAAAACTTCAATATTTTAGGTTACTCAGGATTCCACATCTGTTTAGGCTATCTGTCTCTCTTAATCCTTCAAAGAAATATGTTGCAAAACATTGCAAGCTATTAATTGTACTACAATTTGATAATAGTGTTTATTAATTAAAATTAATATAACCATGTTATTAATTGGAACACAAATTATATATTCCTATGTTCATTAGGCTGCAGTCAAATAATTATAAGATATTTATTATAAATCACTATTAAATCATGAATTGATTTTAACTATAAATATACCTGAAAAAAAAAGCCCCTTTCTATGTTTGTGTCAATGAAATTGTATATGAACTGATAGACTTTACTTATATAACTTCATGAGTTTCTATGATGAATAGAGGATCCAAATCTTAACTTAAGATGCCTTATTCTTAAGGTATAAGTATGTATAACTTGGATCTAACAATATAGTTTGAATTATGAGAAACAATTTATTTTTTGCATATAATTATTTCCATTTTATTACAAAAATAGTCAAACCTCTTTTTTACAAATACAGAAATTTCGATATATAGAAAAAATGAAAATTTTTTTGTCACTGACAAACATGTGCATATAGAACTTTTCAGATTTTTTTTAGAGAGGAACAGAGATTAAAATATGATTTTTTTTTAGCATACTGCCATAATTATTTTAAAGTAGTTTATAATTTTATTCGGATAGGTAGAAGGTATCTATTATTGTAATTTTTATTTTTTTCAGTAACAGCAGAAACAAATCTCAAGCTCTCATGCAGTTTGTAATGCTTCCTTCAATGGTTTTTCTAGATTGTAGTCTGTACTTCAGTCTACATTAAGGTTTTCTATATATAGTTCACTTGAACTTTTTCATCTTCAACGTTTCATCAAATTTAAACCAATCACTAAGTGCCTTTATGCTATTACAGTTATCATCTGAAACAAAATTAGAATATTTTTGAAAAATGAAGTAATGAATTTATGAGATACTTATAGTTTATTAAAATTTTAGATGGTTAAGTAATTCAACCCTCTATTTTATAGGATTCATACTATTTTTAGCATTAACTAATATAGTCTGTGGTACAGACCCCTTTTTATCAAATTATTAACATCCGTCTGAAACTTTGTAAATAGCTTCATCTCATCGTAACCTATAATGTTTTATTTACGAAAATCCTCGGCATTGGGACGTTTTCAATCTGGAGGTCGGCAAACTTTGTCTATGTAATTGGGTACTATAAACTTGAAACACCCATTTGCTTTCCACTTGGTTCATAAGATAATTTGATCACAAAATCTATAAAAAAGGTGACCTAATTAAATAAACAAAGTTTGCTGACCTCTAGATTGAAAATGCGCCAATTACCAGAATTTTCGTTAATCAAATATTTGTAGGTTACGATGAGATATACAAAGTTTCAGCCAAATGTTATTAATTTGCTAAAAAAGGGTCGGTATCATGGACTAATACAGATAAAACCTCAAAAATTCATCATCCATATTTATTTGTTTTTCATATAGAATGATTGACCTATTTTAAAGTTGGTCAGATACTTTTAAGAAACTGTGTGATAAGAATATTGAATATGTCACTCCCATTCCTCTCCAAATAATCCGGAAATAAAAAAAGAAGAAAAATTTGAGTTTTAATAACCTGCTTTCAACTATAAAAATTGTGATAAAATGTTTTTCTCAAAAATTATTAAAATTTAAAACCAATTCCAATACTTTCAAGTAAGGAAAATGGGTTTTTATTGAAATGTGCTTCTATTGAAAAGAAAATCATTGTAAAATTTCAACATTTGCAATAGGTAAGAGAAAAGATTAAATACAAAAGAGTTTAAAAAAGTCAAATAATTGTTGTTTAATTTAAATTCCAATTCCTGTAACTTTTGTTTTACCTATTAAAATTACTTAGAAATTTAGTTTTAACATTTGAAACTGTTATAAAACATAATATATGGTAACGATATCTTTGGTTATAGAGAGAGAAATATTTTATTTAAAGCAGCGCTGCCCTACTATACACAGCATACTCATCAATCCTTTTTTTTTTGGACATAGCACTTAATTATACTTAATCATATGTTTATATATATATAAAAATTCTTTTTCATATCACACAGCATAAACAATATCAATATTATAATATACTAATACACAAAATTACAATTATACAATATATAAATATTTCGGTAAAACCGATATAAGATGATTTCGGAAATTTATGGGAAAAAAAGTATTGATAAAGTAACTTTTTTTAGTTACCTTTGATATTGACTCAAAAACATTGTTTAAAAATAAGGCCAAGAATTCTTATAATGATACTACTTCAAAATGGGTATTGTTACAGTTATTTTCTTTGCATTATGATTGAAGGGTGTAAAATAGTAAAATTTATCCGATTCTTATTTTAATCACAATTAAATTATAATAAAACTGTATAACAATAACCTGAAAGTAAAATCAGGGTGATTCCAAACCGGTCAAGATCTTAAAAAAAAAAAATTTTTTTAGTAAAGAAAACTTTGATATTTTAGGTTTACATAGAGTTCCGCATCTGTTTAGGCTATCTGTAATACTTAATCATGAAAACAAATATGTAGCAAAAAATAGCAAGCTACTAATTTCACCACAATTGGATTCTAGTGTTTATTAGCTAAAATTAATAATACAACATGGATAATAATTGCAGTTGACTAAATTTATCTAAATTTATTTTTCTCTGTCTGTTAATTAATTCAGTTGTTTTTTTTTATAGTGAAGAGTCATATTGTTTTTCCAAATAAATTTTGGATGTTATTCAGTTAATTAGATGTACTCAGCTATATACTCATACATGTGTCATACATCGTTTCGGTTTTCGAACCAGTCAGTACAGTCCAAATTTACCAGAAGTGAAAATGTGGTGTGCGAATAGTATTAAATAAAAAAAGTTGTCTCCTAAGTTATGATCTTAGAGAAATCTGTTTCTTTGGCGTGATTTAAAAGTTGTCTATTAATTTACTATCTTCCAAAAATCTATAGCTACAAGTGTAATTTAAAATCAATTATAATACCATTCATTTTTCGAAGAGATGGTCCACATCCTCCATAGTCAGACGGAATATTTTCCTTCGGAATATCCTCAAGAAGGCCATCTATGTTGTTTGAGGGATGGAAATGTATCTAAAAAAATTGACAGAAGCATACTAACACTTCATTTTTATTTTAAACTTTCTGCCTCTAACGTTAAAAGTCATGTTTTTTTTAGCTACCTTTTTTAAATGTTCCTTGTAAACAAAAGGTCTAATAGCTGCCATCAGGTAAGTTGTTATTGAGCCAACATTGATGAGGTGGATTGTTTTATGTCTCATGGGAACAGCTTCCTAAAGAAGAAGGTTATAAATGCATAAAACTGCTAATTACTATAAAATATGATGATTTTATGATCAGAAAAACTGCATGTTGTTTTTCAAAACTAAATTTTTAGAAAATTTATTCATCAATTTATATTGAGTTTTTTCCTCACAAAAACAAATAACTTCTTTAAACATATTTCATTGAAATATTAATGACAGATTATTTAATTAGCAGCATTACAAGTTATTAATATTAATTTCTAAAAATAATAAACACAAACATAATCTTCCTAAAATTTTTTATAAAAAAATTAAAACAGGGAAAGAAGAATTCCTTAAGCATTTATTTGCTTTTAATATTTTTATAACAGTTATTATTTATTTCATCAATAGGAAACTAGAAAAATAAGAAAAAATAGGAAAAATTCTATACCTGTATGTACTCAAAATAATTCCTTATGGTAGATATAGCTGTTCTGAATATATGCCTGATTGTAAAATTTTCTGTATCATACACAAAAATAATACCAGGGCAACCTTTTCTCTCTAATAGCAATCTATCAACTGTCAGGTACATTGCTTTTAAACCTTCTTCTGTTGAGAATTTGGAAGAATCAGGATTCATCAAACGACCCCAAATTACAGAATAACCTTTGGCTGTAGTAGTCGGTAGAACCCCAAGGCAGCTATCAAATAATAAGTAATATACATATATAAAATATATTCAGCAAATAAACATGATTCAAAAAATAAATAAATCTTATATTATAAATCAGAGTAAAAGAGAATTATGGTATGGGATATTGAAATAAAACAGTCCAGATTCAATGTTACTCTAAAGGATACCCTTGTTCATCCACTCAATAAAAGCTCCAATCCCCCAACACCCTATGATTCCCATCCAATTCCTTACTAACTAAACATCCTAAATCTTCAATCCCAATTATCCCATTATCTCGAATAAAATAAACTTCTGAACTGCCTCCAATCCAGTTTTAGACAGGACCACTCTGATCATTTTGCCCTCATTAAAATCTCCACACAGCTATAACCCAACATAAACTGACCATCCTTATTCTCCTCGATTTTTGTAAAGACTTTGAGTCACCACAATATCCTCCTAATCAAACTTAAAAATATCTCCTTGTCTTATAATGCCCTTAATTGGTTCCAATCCTTCCATACCTCCAGTTCCCAGAATGTTGTTCCTAATAATCCCTCATCAGAGTCTCTACCCTTGTTCAGAGGTATTCCGCAAGGTTCCTCTTTATCCCCACCCCCTATTTTCCAATCTATATCAATTACCTTCTGTGCTCTATGCTGCACTGTCAATATCACCTGTAGTGATTTCAACTCATAATTATTTTTCAATCACAAAACTTCGGTTATCAGGTTGCTGGACAAAACGCAGAATTCAGGGTTTCTGTATTCAATTACTTTAGTCATTATAATATAATTGAATAAAATCCTTATAAAGATTTTTTTTTTGTGGTCCACTAAAACAATTCCGCACTCTGTCTCTGATTGAAAATCCTTAATTATTCAGTACAGACTCTAAAAGGTGAAAAAAACTTCTGAAAATTTTGATACCCTAAAAAAGTAATATATACCTACAAAATGATTGATATCTTAAAGGAAAATCATCAAACATTCTGAAAATGGAGACAAAAGTTGAGAAATGCTCAGTATATTACTATTGTTGGGATTTTTATAAGGAAAAATATAATTTTCTTGGAAAACCATTTGAAATATTTTATTTTTACAATGAATTGAGATAGGCAGGGGAGATTGGTGGTGATGAACTACATTTTTAGTAGAATGTTTTCTCCCTTAATAATTGACATTTTTTCCTAGAACACCGTGTATAATTATTTTTAGGTAGACAGATAAAATTTCAAGAACTATTTACATTGCTTCTTAATCCCCTTACAGACTAGATAGTTTTTGTTTTCCCCCCTCACTATAGCAGAATTAGACCTATTAGAAGACATTTCTTAATAAAAGTGCTAATTTAATTAGCTTACCAATTTTCAATATTCATTTGCATCTTTTCTCCATCTAAGTTTCGATTTGAAAAAAGCTCTGGAGCTTTGGCTTTCAACCTCATGTATGAATCAAGAGCTTTCTTTGCTTTTTCCAGGTTGAAATAGCAGCTGTGCAAAAATCTTGCAAGATATTCATCTAAGACAAAGAATTTGGACATCAGATTTTGCTAAGCCTATATGAAATTCAATCTTGTATTAAGTACTTAAATAATTTTGAAATATAAGTTTTGGAATACAATAAAACTTTGGATAAATATTGTATCGAATGTTATTTAGTCTGGCTTCAGAATTTGATCTAAGGTGGCAAATAGGAAAGAATCGGTGGCAAATTTCCGCATGGCAACAAGGCACGATTACCTGCAAAGGCATTTATATAGGATTGGAGTGATGGAAAGTTCTGTGTGCCCTCTTTGCCAACAGTTTAATAAATAAAAAAAAAATAAAAAAAAAAAAAAAAAAGGAATTTGATCTATGTAAAACATCAACCTTTTAGCACTTAGATTTACAAATATTCAACACCCACCTTTTAGTACATAGATTTAAAAAAAAAAAAACAATCCAATCAAAAATGATGGTTTAGAAATAAATAAAACAATATTATTGAATATCCATTTATCTACTAACTCAATTTACATACACATTTTCAACCCTCTATGACTATTTGGAGGGGCTATAGAAAAGCAACTTTAAAAACATGGAGAACTGTGCCAAATCTCTTGGACACGTCAAAATTTATGATGTTTTTCGGCCATAAACCAATCTAAATATTGTTGAGCAAGGGAAAGAAAAAATATCTAAATTTCAGCTCATTTGATCCAAAGGAAGTCGCTGCAGGTCTTTTAATGGAGCGAGAAAAAAATATATAAAATGCAATTCAGATATCCTCAAAACCCTCTAACTCAAGAAAAATTCTTTTCTAGAGGTTCTAAAACGTATTTAAAATGCATCTCCAGCCCTTTCTAATGACCTTTCAAACAATGCAATTATTTTCGGCAAAAAAACCTACTAAAATTATAATTATCGACCTTCAGATTTCAAAATTAAAAATAGACAAAGAGGTACATTGACGTTCCATGGAGTTCAAGGATGTTAACGATAAGGAGATAAAGTTAATACTATCCTCAGAATTGATTAGAATAATCGTAATAAAGTTTTTTTTAAGCTGATATATTTTAATTGAAAATATCATTTGGATATTGCGTGTATACCCAAAGCAATATATATATATATATATATATATACAGTGGATCAAAAAAGTATTGGCACACTTAAATTTTTTCACGTTCCATTGTAAAAGAATCCGAAATTAATTTACTAAAAATTCTTATTTTATAAATAATTAAGAAAAATACATATTTGAGGTAAAAAAAAATTAAATTCAGTAAACGAAAAATCACTTCAACACGGTCAAAAAAGTATTGGCACACTTTAATTTGAGATTTATTTCACGAACTGGATATTGATCAATATTTTTTCAGCATACCATTGGCATATATAACTTCCTGGAATCTTCTTGGTATCGACAAAATAAAATGTTGAGTTAAGTCTTGTCCAATTTTTCGCCATTCTTCTAATAAAGTTTCTTTTAAATAATTTTTAAAGATATTTTTTTATCTTACTTTCAAATCCAACAGGTACCATAGGTGTTCTATGGCATCTATGTCCGGAGACCGTGGTGGTGTTTTCAATTGGCTGAGAACATTGTACAGCATCCATTCTTTTGTTTTGTTTGGCGTGCCCTCGGCGTCATTATCCTGTTGGAAGATAAATGCATTTTTAATCCTTAGACTTTAGACTTTCGGCTCTGCTAATTAAATTGTGTCGAAAAATGTCGACATATTGTCCGGAATTCATAATATTGTCAATAAAGGTTAAGTTTCCAACTCCATTTCATGACGTACCTTCCCAAACCTGGACACTTCCACCTCGGTATTTTACAGGAGGCCTCACATGTCGAGTTTGAAACTCAGTGTCAAGTTTCTGCCAAACGATCTTGCGGTCATTAATACGGAATATGATAAACTTACTTTCATCTGAAAGTATAACATTTCCTAAAATTCTAGGTCTTTATTAAATTAACTTTTGTTCAAACTCAAGTATTTTTTTTTTTAGTTCATCTATGTAATACAAGGTTGTAATCTGTCATAATAATAATTATGAATTATGTTTCTAACCGAAGGTGGTAATTGAAGTAAATGCGACCACTTCTAGGCGGCTGATTAAGTGTCATTTTGTTCAACAATTCAATGGATATTTTTTTGTACCCTCTTAAATTTTGATGGCCACTCTGAACGTGGTATTTTTAAAACATTCTTAACTTTTATACAATATTTTGGATACTGCTAAATCCGATTTCTAATTTATTCGCTATTTGTCGGTAGTTAAGTCCATTAAAATGTAATTTAATGATGTGGTTTTTTAAACTGACACAATATTCATTGGTTTTATCCATTTTGTTATAGCAAATATACAGCAAAGACTGCTTTTTATTATTTTCACTGGACTATCGTCAATCCTCGTTTCTAATTTCTTGAAAGTGAAAGTATTAATTAGTTTTGACTGTTGCTAATAGTAAACAATTAAAACCGGGCCAAAACTTTTTTAACCCTCAATATTTACTCTTTATATTTACTTTAAACATGGTTTTTAAATTCCGAACATTCATTGCTTCTAACATATAATTCTCAAAGGCCACATTGTTATATAAATATTATTTCTGGAAAATATCTTAATCCTATTGAGATTTGCAGATCTCTTTTAAATTGGAGTGTGCCAATACTTTTTTGATCCGCTAAATATATATATGTGTTAATATATTTCATTTGAGAAAATTAAATAAAGTGTACTATAAATCTTTTTAAAGATAGTATTTTTATTTTAACAGTCCATTGTATGAACTTTATATATACCTATAGAATAGATAATCAATGACCAATAAATTAATCAAATGATGCTATTAATTTCTGAATAGACTGTCAACTATATATTCTCATGATTTTGAGAAGCGGCACGAAATATAAAGAAAAGGAAAAAAAATGAAATTAATGTACAGACAGGAACAGCTCTCTTAAGAATCCGTGTTTAGTTCTCTTTTATTTTTCGCATTTTTCAAACAATTTCCATATGGTATAATAAGTAATTTTTTTTTGTACGTACAAATCAAACAAAAAAAAAATATTAAAGCCTGTTAAAGAGTAAGGAAATAACTAAAACAATATTTTTAAGGATCGTAAAAGTGGCCTGATAAAGCATAATTTATCAAGAATAAAACCCTTATTTTCTTTCCTTAACTTATTTGTTCAATATTTTGAACTATTGCACTCTCGAGCTTTTCTAGCAATTATTAAAGTGAAAAATAGGTCACCTATTGAGCAATTAAGTTAAGAAAAGAAAATGAGAATATGATTCTTAGAAAATAAATTATGGAGGCAGCATTATAGTTTTTTAATTATTATTTTTTACAATTATTTCTGTTTAGGTATACTAAAATGCATTATCATGGCAGAAACCACCTTACAGTAACTATGGAGGAGAAAGTAGTCTTGAGAGAAAACGACCTTGAAAAAATATTGACAGAGGAGTGCGAGAATTATAGATAGTTCTTATGAAAATATTTGACCATTTCTTGACAATTTCAATAAATCCGACCTTTACTGTTTCATTGTCGGTAATATCAATTTTATGTTAATCTCAACCATTACAGGATTCAAGAAGCTTTTTTTTTCTCGCTCTCTCTTTTATAAAGCGATAATTATTCTGTATGAAAAAGGAAAAAAAATATATGAAATAATGTTTAAGTAGACATAGAAGGCTTGCTTAATCTCTTAATTATAGGAACAGTAACGCTTTCAGGGATATTTCTTTGGACAAGAGCTTACATTTACCAGCTATATATGCTGTATAATTCAATAAGAAAATGTCTTAAGCTCGAATCACTCACAAAAGCGAATATGAAACGATGAATAAAAATAAATTTTTTTATTTTGGAGAGCTCTATCAAGCACAAATAGACACAAATGTAAATTCCACTATTTGGACACCAATTTTTTGATGGAATATTTTCGTATATATATAACTGTATAACTATTTGGAATATATAACTATTTCGCTCTAATGCACTAATTTATAAGGAAGCCATATCTCACGTAGCAAGCATCTTACACTCGGAAACATTGAGATACGATTCTATAACTGCACTACGTTATCTTCGGAAATGAATTACATCGAAAATTTTACGGTTTTCTATTCCGGACGAAAATAGTCCCATAAGATGTTCTCTATCCCCAGACTGTAGTAAAAAGATTCCGTATGGTAAGATATGGTCCATGTTAACAAATGAAGAATTAATAGATGTTAAAATAGATAAATATTACATAAATGGTTTATCAGATCATGATTGAAAGTTGCAACACAAAGCCTTACGGGTCTTATCAGGACTAAAAAACATTATGTCAGATAAATAAATGCAGACTAGAGATAGCACATATCACATCAACAGACTAAAAAAACAAACTAATATATATATATATATATATATATATATATATATAATACTGTACAGCTAATATAAAATACCATATAATAGTGCATCATTTCAATTAGATATTGTATGTGATGAAGGGTGTCGGAGTGAAGTACTATCACTACTTGGTACGTATTTTTTATCTGTCGATGCGAGATGTGCTATTTCTATTCCATTCCTGATAATACCTAAATTGGCAAAGCGTTCAAAACATTGTTATTTAAGGGCATTTGAGGATACTGTTGCTATTGTTTTTGAGATCTTCCAACAACAAAAGAGTTTCGTCTTTCCTTTTTTTTTTCTCGAGTTTTTGCTGCCACAATTATCCACAGGTTTAATGAAACATGTTGATAACTGTAGCTTAAACTTTATAAAACATAATATGGTTACTTATTATAATTATATTGTAATATATAATAATTATATCCTGTAAATAATATAATTTCGGAATTAATTTAATTAAATAATTTAATATACTTACCAGGGACATCGGGAAGATGTTCTTGTTTATTTAACCAATCGCGAAATTCTTTAATTTGTTCTTCTGTTACGCCCCACACGCTCAAATCCATGCTTGACTATCAATCTACAAAAAAAAAAAAAAAAAATACAAAATAATATAAGACAATATTTCAATGACATTTTCAACACGGATATATATCTTTTTTTATGCGTCATACATAAGTTTAATGTATTATGATGGCAAAATCTGACTTTTTACTTTCACTTACCTATATATGTAATATATAGTAAGGGTAAGTATTGCGATCGTGAAAATTCTGTCTTGAGTTTTCAACGAAAATACACATTTTGAGGTGCCCTGAGTCCAAATAACCAAGTCGCGCAAAACGGCCTGTGTGTGTATGGCTGTGTCTGGCTCAGAAACTAAAAGTCGTACGAAAGTGAAATTGCGTATTTGAGGTTGTTATATACATGAGATGTTACAGCAAATTTTTCGTCAAAAACATTATCGATTTAACACATTTTTACGATTTTCTCAAAAAAGGCTCTAACGATTTTGATTAAATTCATTTTATCAGTGTAAAATTAAGTATTTTTAATATAATATGGGTTTTATTCTCATCGATGATCTCTAACAGGGCTTAAATGGCTAATTTTCAATATCAGCTTCCCCTAAAGTAACTTTAATTTTTTTATTCGAAACAATTAACCATTTCAAATTGATCTCTGATAAAAAAAATATTTTTTTTTTTATTTATTTTAAATGATATTTACAACTGTATACAAAAAAATACATCTAGTAAATTTGCACATTGGTATAAAGACATGGAACACATGTTGAGAAACTATCCATTGGTAGCACTCTAATAATATGGCTATATTAGAAGATCACGTGGCCATCTTCTTTTCAGACGCCTCGGAGGGTTATCAGGAATCGAATAGGAAGCAAGGTTAGAGACAAGAGGGTTGGGATGGTTATGAAGTTTATTATGGAAGGACAGATATCTGGATTGGGCCAAATCTGATACATAAGGAACATTAAGGTCATTATGGATAATTTTATTTGTAACAAAGTAAGGAGCATTGAGGATTTTACGAAGGATTTTGGATTGGAAGGACTGTATGCGAGAGGAATTTGAAGGCTTGGTGGAGCCCCATAGCTCAACCCCGTAAGTCCAAATAGGCCTTATTATAGTCATGTAAATCAGTCTTTTATAATTGATTGGAAGGTTAGAGCGTTTGTCTAGTAAGTGTTGAAGTAGTCGGAAACGTCGAGCGGTTTCTTGTCGTTTCAGTCTGGTATGAGGATTCCAAGTTAGACGTTTGTCCAGATGGAGTCCTAGGTAACGGATTTGTTCAACAGGAATAAGTGAGGTGTTGTTAAAGGATACTGAAGGACAGGAAGTCATTGGTTTACGACGAAGGGTGAAGGTAATTTGATGGGATTTATTGGAATTTATTTTAATTCTCCAGTTCTGACACCATTCTTCAAGGTTTGTGATGTGGGATTGAAGGGTTTGGGATGCAATAGATGGGTCGTTATTGACTGATAGGATACATGTGTCATCAGCATATGTGGTGATGACAGTGTTAAACAAAATATTTAAATATAAAATATGAATGAATTTGATCATTAACTAAAGGAGAAATAAGAGATCGTAACGGAGATTAGTTGTAATGGAGGAACCAAAGGAATACGAGCGAGCCCGAAAGATTAGAACATGCTTCCATACGTAATACGGGCTTAATATAATACGGACTCCGATAATATTATGTGCATATACATATGCGGTTTTCATAAATGCTATCGTTGGTATTATTTTAATTTAATCGTATAGATTACAGCGATATATATAAAATGAAATATAAATAAATACAGCGTCCATAATTTTTACTTTCATTTCCTCTTTGTCAGAAAAAAATAATTATTTCTGCTAAGTAGAGGATGGTAAGTGATGCATGCACCGCACCAAATTTTTTATACAGTAATTTAGTTGATGTGTTTCAAAACCTAGGCAAGTTTTATTTTTAAACGCAACGAGAGCAGATATTCTTTAGGAAGAGGAGATGGCAAAGACAATGGAAGTGCTAACCATTATAGTTAATCCCAAGGAAATGTACTGTATTATTTTCTCCCTCCAGAAGAAAAATATTATCTCCCTAAGGCCTGTAGGGACGAGGGTAGAACAGTGTACTCAGATGTTACTCTTGTAAGATGTCTGACTATTACCACAACTCCATAAAGATCAGATTGGTGAAGAATAAACCACCTATCCGTCTTAGGTCCTCCGCCTTAAATTAATGATTTACTAAAGGACTATATGACCGGTCGTCCCTCATAGAGCGTCGATGCTAGCAAATATACTAGCACCAAAGACAACAAAGCTAGCCAGTAGTTTCATAACAGCTTGCTGAGACATTTCATTAGAGGACAAAAATAGACTTATCCATACAATGTACTTTTCAAAACTCGCAACATCTATTTTTTTTTTTATTTTATTTGTAATCGCCTCTACCCTAGAGGGTCATTGGCGGCTAGTTTTCTATATTCTATTATAGTATTTCGTCTCCATTAAGTATCGGAATAGGGTGGTGACTCCATCTTCGTTGTCTCTTAATATTTCTTTCATTGTCATTGGTAGTTTCAATTTTTGCCGAATGTTGTTGAACTCGTTACACTCTACTAACAGAGTGCATCTATTTAAATGTATCTAAATCTATATATTTTTTTAGCATTGCTAAAACTAGATAAACTGTTTTATTGATACATTGTGGAGTTCATAGAGTTTCCGAGAATATTTTCAGTTGGCAGAATATACATTTTTCACTGTTTTTATTGAATAGTTCAAATAAAAAATAAAAAAAGATTTAGCCGATGTCGCGAGTTTTTCCTTACTCGTTCCATTGTGCGGCGCCACAGATTACATTTTAATTTTCACTATGTATATGAATAAAGTTACATATACTGGATAATATTTATGTAATTTATTTACGTATTTGTTTTAGTGCCACCCATTATAATGGATAAGATCTGTATAATTTTAAGATCAGTATAATTTTATATTTGACCCGAGAAAACTCATGATTTGAGCCCATGATTTCTCTTTTCGGCGTTGGATATTCATAGATCCTGAAAATGTAGGCAACAGTGTACATAAACAATGATATAAAGAAATATAGAAAAATAATATATATATATTTCAAGAATATATAGGAAATAAAAAAACAGAAAAGTTCTTCTCGAATGGCTAAAGTACATTCAAATATTCATCATATTGGTACAGGTTGTAGAAAATACTTTTCAGTTATGAAAAATGCCAACACATCATATTTAAATTAATAAGTGAAACTTGTCCTCTCATATACTTCAATAACACATCATTAACACACACAAATTATCTGGAGCTAACGTTTGATTGAAGACTGATTTGGGGCCCACACATTTAGAAAAAATGTAAAATATTAAATCAACAAAGTAAACTGTAGTAGTAATTGCCCAGACCACAATCAAAATTAAAATAAAATCTAAAACCAGTTTGGTCAAATTTTCGAATCTGCCAAAAAGACACACGTACAAAAAAGACTCCAATTATTCCAAGCCAAAATGTTCAAACTAATTACTTATTAATAAACAGTTAGGCTAATTAGGCTAAGCACCTTGATATTTTTCTAAGGCAACTTTACATACTGACCTAAGATTCTTAGGCTAAGAATACGAAAAGTCAGCTAATACATACTGATTCCCTACAAAAGATTTCCAGGGATAATATAATATAGCAATAATATAATAAAAATAAGAATCGCCACTGGCAACATGTCTGACAATATCACAATGAGGCTGAAAAGGTCGTGGATTACAGCCTTTTTGTAAGGTTATTTTATTTTTGTCTATAATAATACCGCTGAAGAGATACCTGGGTAATTTTCTTCCTCATATCTGGCGTACCATTATTATTGTATTAATGATTTGACATGCAATGCACTGATTGTAAATTCTGTCTTAGACAGCAGTTGATATATAAAGTTTTAAAAAAAATAAGCAACAATAACTGCATAAGAATCTGAAGCAAAATATAATTAATGAAAACTATTTCTGTTATTTACTATTTCCTGATGAGCACTAACAAATAATTAAGTTAATAAATGTAAACAACATAACTATTTTTATTTTTTTATTGAATAATAATACAATCAGTCACTGTTGGAGGGCTATAAGTATTAAGGCTAAAAGTTAACATAACAACTAGAAATGAAATGAGTGAGAGGGCTTCTTTCAATGAAAGTGGAATAATTTTGAATTTTGTATTCTAAGCGGGAAAACAGCTAACACTGACATTAATGCAAGAATAACTGGAGGAAGAAGGGCTATTGGGTAATGCTCATTTCTAGAGCAGTGACATACTAAGAATATCAAAAAGGCTGTTACAATGAGTCATGTCTTATGCTATTGATTTCCACTAGCAGATCCAGGATTTAATTAGACTTTTGCATTTAACTCCTCTAATTTTTCATTCGGGCTTAGTTAGATTTCTCCTATCTAAAAAATTATAGTAATATCTCTATAGTAATAAGCTACTAAGTAACTGCAAGACTGTTGCGAGACTCTTGTGCAAGACCAAGAATATGACCAAGACTGATTTTGCAAGACCAAGACTTGTCTCGGTCTCGCATTTGGGCAACACTAGTCCCACTGTGCGGCACCACGGATAACATTTTAATTTTCACTATGTATATGAATAAAGTTGCATATACTGGATAATATTTATGTAATATTTTTACGTATTTGTTTTAGTGCCATCCATTACAATGGATAAGATCTCGTTTCAGTGTAATTTTATATTTGATAAGGGAAAATTCATGATTAGAGCCCATGGTTCCTCTTTTCGGCCTTGGATATCCATAGATCCTGAAAATACAGGCAACAGTATTATTAACGAATGATATAAAGAAATATAGAAAAATAATATATATATGGAAGAGGGGCTTCAGACCGAAAGCTTTTATATACATAAAACCACTAGCGGATCCAGGATTCAATTTTGGGGGGGCTTCAGCCCGAAAGCTTTTTTTTTCATAAAAATGGCGATAATTACCTTGGAAAAAAAGAAAGAAACTATATGAAAT